TCAAAACACCACTTAAGTGCCCACACATACTCACTTCACGGTTATTTTGTCTGTTTAGTTTAATTTATTATGAATGGTAAGTTAATAATAAGAAAATAGAAATCAAAAGCACATTTTACTTAACTTTTAGATAATTAACTTTTTTGCAAGGCCTCGTTTGGCAATTCAATATTTTAACCTTAAAGTTAAAAAGTCCCTAAAAAATTAAAAAGTTAATAATCTATATCAAAAAGTCAAAATTTTCATTTTCTCTCTACTTTTTGTACATCTTTTCGTAAAAAAATTAAAAAATCATTTCAAAACACACTAAAAAAAAATTTACCTCATATTTTAGTCAAAAAATATTTTTTTTTTTAAAATAGCATGTTCTCAAACGAGACTGTGCTTCATAATGTAAGTGGAAATTGCAATAATAGTTTCGCACAAATTCCCAAAAATGGAAAATATCCCATCAATTGTTAGTGAATATCACTTTATTCCATAAATTTGTGCATATTAACTCATCAACTATAAAAATTGTACAAATATACCATTTTTAGAGGTGGCCTGAACGGGTTAAAAATGATATAATTTTATAGTTGAAGGATTAAAATATACAAATTTGCAGATGAAGAGCATAAAGTGATATTCGTTAATAGTTAAAAAAATCTTGATATAAATAATCCTAAAAGCATGCTATAAACAACTTAGGGTTAAATTCAATTTCTCCCCTCATGATTTGGGACTTGCACTTTATCCCTTATGGTTCAAATATTGCCAAAAAAATCCAAGTGATTTTTGACTAAAATGTTACCGTTAATTTTTTCATTCAAAATAATAGAAAGTGAATCACACACACCATTTTTAAGAATGGATTTGGTTTTCTAAAAAAATAAATTAAAATTAATACAACAAAAAGATAATTTTATTCCCATTTCCTCCAAAATTAAAAATAGATAAATATATTAATTAAATTAAAATATAATATAATTAAGAATTGATCTAAAATATGATTAAATATAAATATAAAATAATAATAATTAAAAATTGATCTAAAATATAATTAATTAAAATTAGATTAATATGTTAAAAACAGTAAAATAAAATAATTATTTAAAACAATCAATGACCAATTATAAGTTTCACAATTCTCGTTTAATTGACTTATAAATAGAATCTTGCTAACAAGTGTCTCTAAAACACAAGTAAAAGACAGCATATTTATAAAACAAAATACATTTTCACCAACTCCAATGTACTTTTATTGATATTGATATACCTTTTAAATATTTTGACCTATTTTTAAGACATTTTTATTCACTTCTCAACATTAAACAATGCATATAAACACTTGTTAGCATTTGCCATAAATAATAAAAGAAAAAATGTGTATGCTGTGTTCTTGAAGAAAGAACAAACACAGAAGTAGAAGAAAAGAAAAACATAGCCTTGAATGCTCTGTTACAGATGCATTCAATCAAGAGTACAGTTTCCTATAAAAAAAAACTAGGGTAAATTAGCACTGTATATGCAACTGAGATTGAAGCAATCTTTCTGCACAGTCCGCTAAGAACACCTCTGCCTTTTCTGAGTTGAATTCACAATCCTAATTCTTTGTTGGAATCTCAGCACAAAGTAAAAGACAACATATTTATAAAACAAAATACATTTTCACTAACTCCAATGTACTTTTATTGATATTGATATACCTTTTAAATATTTTTACCTATTTTTAAGACATTTTTATTCACTTCTCAACATTAAACAATGCATATAAACACTTGTTAGCATTTGCCATAAATAAAAAAAGAAAAAATGTGTATGCTGTGTTCTTGAAGAAAGAACAAACACAGAAGTAGAAGAAAAGAAAAACATAGCCTTGAATGCTCTGTTACAGAAACATTCAATCAAGAGTACAGTTTCCTATCAAAAAAAACTAGGGTAAATTAGCACTGTATATGCAACTGAGATTGAAGCAATCTTTCTGCACAGTCCGCTAAGAACACCTCTGCCTTTTCTGAGTTGAATTCACAATCCTAATTCTTTGTTGGAATCTCAGCACAATAGATGTTTTTAACCATATCTTCTGGGCCTTAACAGCCTGATCACCCACCAATCCAGTGTCACTCTTATCACTTTGTTGATCGGTATGTGATTCAATTCCTGGGATCACAGCTTGAGTGTTGCAATGATCACCGCAAAACTGTGGACACTCCTCTTCACACCCTTGAATCATGGATTTGGAGAAATCGTATGGAGGACTCCAAGGGAGGGAACGCATTAAGTCCATATCAGAAATGCCAAAATCATCTGGACTGCTCACATTCCGATTGAAATAATCGGGTGAAAAGATCCCCGGAGAAGTCCCATTATTATGACTTATAGGATTCTCCAGTATGGGTGAATTAGAGTGAAGTGCATTCGATAAGTTAGACGAGTCACAACTAAGAGAATTCCTATCAACAGAGACTACTTCCCCCCAGTGTTCGAATGCAGATACTACCAACTTGTGGGCGTCAACCTGGTAGCAAAATCAATGAGAGTGAGTTACAAATGTGAAAAATCAACAAAGAAAAAATAAATAAAAATCAGGTGATATGAGAAGCACACCTTTTGTGTTGCAGAAAGCTTCTCAACAGGAACATAACGGCATTCAGAGAGTATTCCCAGCACTTGTCCCCCAACATTGAAAACGACACCAAATTTCTGCTGCGAACTGCCCGAGTAGTACGAATACCAATCATCAAGTTTATTTGTCAGAGCATGGTCCACAGTTTCTTTCAACATTTTATCAGACATGTGAGTTCCAAGAGTCTGCATAAGTTCCAACAAACAAATATTGTTAATATTATATACACTGAAGGCAGGCAAATTTCTGTATTGTTTGTCAGACATAAAAGACATTAGTTAAGAAGTCAGAAATGTTGAAGATGTCCATGGAGACCAAAAACATCACAAGGTTACACCAAAAAAAAAAAAAAAAACGCGCACACACAAACTGAATGCAACTGTATAAAGAGCCAGAATGTTAAGGTTAAAAAAAAAAAAAAAAAAAACACACGCACGCACACACAAACTGAATGCAACTGTATAAAGAGCCAGAATGTTTGTACAAGTTTCATTTGGTTTAACCACTGATTTGCAGTTAAAACCATTGATTTCATTAGCATGACATTTTCTCAACGTATAAAGCATTATATCAAGGGCAACGAAGTTGGCAATTAACATTAGGAGGTGCTCATGAAGTGATCTCAGAAAATTTGACCGTGGATGTAAATGATGGCCATGTCATTGTCCTCATTGCATAACAAAACAGGCACGTGTGCACACTCAAAAAAAAACTGAGCGCAGGTAAGACAAAGGGCGTCCCCCTCAGAACCTATTCTTTTAAGCAACAGGGAACAAACTTGACTTTTCGGTTTTTCCTAATGAAGAGGATGGGCATGATTATCCAATTATCAAGGAAGTTTGCATAAGGTTATCAACAAATCAACATTTAAAAGCAACATTTAGTCTATAGGAGGCAGTGCCTCACAATTTAACACAAAATAGAAATAAGTAGAGAATACCACTGTTCAGTAATTGAAGTCAAGTGTGAGAAAAAGCAGCAAATTCTTACAGCTTGGAGCCTTTGACGATGTAAAAAGAATTCAGTTAGAAATTGCTGCACTGTTTTTATGTTTCCATCACTCAAACGCTTAGGGACAGCACCACGTCTACCAATGTTTTTTAGCCGCCACACCGCATCAGATAGAGATGGAGAGTCAAGCTTCTTGTACACTGCAAACAGAATATTGAAGTTATATTGGGCATTTTCCATTTTCACACTAGCGTGGTAACACCTTATATATGTGTTATGAATACCTTAATTGTCTGACTATCTTTCTTTTAGTTTCATAGGCTTCTAAGCAATGAAAGAAGCTAGTAAGACAAGAACACAGAGTGACTTCAACCACTAAAACTCAATCGATTGTTATAATCTAAAGAATTCAAAACAATTGTAGAATATAGAAACACACGTGATGATGTATTCATCTTAGAAATGTTTCAAAACATAATTAGAGTGAATAAGTTAAGTTGTATCTAAAGAATTCAAAACAATTGTAGAATATAGAAATACACGTGATGTATTCATCTTAGAAATGTTTCAAAACATAATTAGAGTGAATAAATTGTATTTCAAAGAATATAAACATTGTTACTATAAAGAGATTCATCATATATATAGGTCATGTTTAGAGGGTTCAAAAAGTGTCAAAGTGTCTGTAAAATGTTCAATATTATGAATTTACATTTTTAATTGAGACATTAAAAAAGTGTTGGACATGCTTTTTAAGAGTGTCCGCAAAGTGTCGTGTCTGACACGACATGCCTCCTCTATAGAAGTGTATGTGCTTCTTAGTATAAATAAATACACAAATATCGCGTGTTCAATAATAAAAACAAGTATACCCAAAACTCTATTGATATGAAATGGACCATAATTCAATCTACTTTATAGTGGATTCCAAAAGCCAGCATCATTGTAACTCACACCTGGCCCAAGCTATTATTGAATATCAGATTTTGGCAAATAGATAGAAGAAATTCATAATAAAATTAGAAGCACTCACATTTGCCGCGTCGATCCTTGATGATGAAAGGTTCTGTCTTTGCTTCTATTACTCTAGTCCCATTAAAATTATCCAGAATTCTTGCACCCAGCCTGAACTTACAGTTGTTCATCCAGATTGAGGTGTGTGTAAAAGAAATCTCACCAACAAAGCCAATGCCTTCTCTCAGATTCAGACATGCATTTCCACTAAGAAGAGGTTTATTTCCTTCCCTTTCTCTGACAATATTTCGGTTAAACTCTTCAAGGGTCCAGTCTTGCCCTTCATCATCATCAAAATCTCCCCGAAGAACTACTATTTCAACCTTTGCTAAGGCTTCAAGCCCAGAGTTGACAACTTCCCCAGTTAAACCATCAACCAAAGCAACTTTGAGACAGGTGAACAATCTTCTCCTTAATAGGCATTCCTGTCATATGTCAGAGAGAGTTTGAAATCGTAGCTGTAGGATTCTTGGTTCTGAAGAATGCATCTCATTCCCAGAGTTCCTGAATAAGAATTGCAAGCATATGTTAATTATATTGGTCATGGATAGGGCTCGGTAAACTTGACCACACCTCACAATGGGGAAAAGTAGTATTATTCTCACCTAGTCAAAACCTTGTCCACAACAGATTCAATTACTACTTTCGCCTGAAAACACACAGTATCAATGAGATATTATGGAATTTCCTAAAAAACAAATTTAGGAATGACAATCCATAGAATCATAAATCATACTTTTTTTTTTATATATAACAATCATACATGGTTACCTATTAACAAAGACTGACAAGCTGCAAAAGCCTAAACCATAACAAGATATGGGTTCTCAACATTTCAATAAATTAGTACTCACCATCTCAACTTACAAATACAATACTTCAAATTACAATTAGACCTGCACACAAGGATCTATTAGTTATAGTTTTAAACACTAACACAAGCACCACGAGAACCAGAAATCTAATTTGGCCATGCATCTGTACATTTTAGTTATTATGCTGAAAGATTGGTTTAGCACCCTAAACAGATTCATGTAATTAGACTCAAGACAGTAGAAACAGGGCTCAAAAGATCATGAGGTGCTAGAGAAGAATCTTAAGCATATAAATCTCAAGTACAAAGACAAAGAACCTATCCACACTATTGATAATCAAATTATCCTACAAAAGAAGAAAAGAAGGGCAAATCCTGCTTGAATGTGAAGCATACACAAAAAAACTGCTGCACGTCAATTTGGTGGGTGGGGGTGGAAGTCATCAGTCAGCTTATAGAACCCAAGCAACTCACGGAACCCTTCATGAAGAACAACTCACACAAGTTCACTTTATGTCCCTTATGTTAAATTGGAGTGAAAAACAACATTCAATCACTGGAGGATTATCGTTTAATCATCATAAGTTGCATAACCACTCTCGAGAACATAAAATAGTCTACCAAATGGTGATTCCTATATGTCAAGTGTTAGAAGCATTAATTCAGACAGAAAGAGAAACATCTGGCATCGGAATAAAGTTCATCGGATGAAAATATTGATATTTACAGGAACTAACTCAGACACAAAATTAGCATTAAATGTTCTGCACAATACAATAGAATTTTGTGAACTTCATCTAGCATGAGCATCCCTAATGTAAATATTAATCCACTGCATGTTGAAGCAACACAAGTACCCCCTTTAGGAACTTGTGATGCACCAAGAAAGTAACTACTTTCCAAAATTTCATTCAAGAACTTTAATGCCTTCTAATACTAAACACATGAATATTCCACCACAAAGTGACTCAACTCTACAGGCAAAGACCACTACTATTGTGACCTACTCTACAAAAAAACATCCACAAACAAAGTAAAAAGTTTCTAAATTCCCAATAAACTATCTTCATGTCATGAAATGAATCCGAACACACAAATAACTAACCAGAAAAACATACATGTAATATACACATTGAATTTGTATTACCTATGTACACACTTACAGTGTATTCATTTATACATGTATGTACATGCACAGGTGTGCATACATGTATACACATGCAAATAAATGAATGTCTACAAGTATGCATACATACAGCATTCACACAGTTAATCATTTATGCCTTTATTTTTTTTAATTACATTTCAAACATGTGTACATAATTACATCTATTATAATGTCTATGAAAGTTTTATTCCACAAAATGCACTTACAGCTTTACGTAGCAAATGCTCCATAAGTGGCTCTATTACATGATGAACCCTCTGTATCACCATCACCTCCACCACCCTGAGAAACGAAAAATAATATATATATATATATATATATATGCGCCAAGGCAATCAAAAAACAGAAACTCTTAAAAGCAGAACTTACATAAGAAATTTCAACCAGAATAATTGGAAATTATAATCACCTTGATGGTCATGCATTTGAAAGTGATAAGACCCTAATTTACATCAACATTAAATTTTCAGTATTATATTTTTGGGAAAATGACAAAAGAAATCCAAAGGTTTGAATCCTGTAACAAAATAAACTTGAGTTTTCAATTTTATAAATTTAAACTCTAATATTTTGATCGGTTTTCAATCTAAATCATTCACTTATTTTTGTTAAGTAAAATTGTCTGAAAAAAGTGTATTTTAGTCGCTAAACTCAATAGAAATGGATATTTTAGACATTTTATGTGCACCTATATTGAGTTTAATGACTAAAATAAATGCAGCATTTGGTAAAGCTTTAGAATTATAATTTGATAATAGAGTTGTATTTTGAGTTTGTGAGTTTTGAAATTATGATTTGAGTGTGAAAAATTGTTTAGTTATGAGTTTTGAATTGAGTTTGAAATTTTTGACGTAACAAATGATATTTGATTCAAAAATTTACAACTCATGACCAAACACACAATCCAAATTCTATTCAAAGCTCATAAAAATTTTATAAAAAAATCTAAAAATATTTGTTTTAAAATATAAAAATAACAGGTGCTAACAAAAAAACAAAAAGAAAATATTCCGGTCAATCGGCCTGACGTTCGGGGGACATCCGAGAGGATGACCGGATAGGCATGTTTTCAAAAGTGGGTGTGGAATCAATGTTTGAAAATTGTAACCAAACAACGAACTCAAACCAAGGTGTAGAATTAAGTTTCCAAAACTCCATCAAACACAGCTAGCGGTGCAACTCGAGCGGATTTGGTCGAGTTGGGAGGTTGTCCAAGCCTAGCCCCAACTATGCTAAGACCTGCCTAAGCTCGCCCAAGCCCGAATTGTAACCCGAGGTTATCTGCCCAAACCCGACCCGAGTTAAATCCGAATTGCCTGAGTTGTCCGAATTGCTTAAATTGTAAATGAATTTCAATTTTTATTTTTATTTATTTTTATTTTTTTGCGCCCGAATTGCTTGAATTGTAAATGAATTTCAATTTTTTTTTTATTTTATATTTTTTTTGCAGCTACATTATTAAAATTTGACTCTATTTACATTTTTTTTAATATTTTTTTTTTATAGAAAATCATTGATACAATCAAAACAAATAATTTGTATAATGTAAGAGCGATGCCACTATAGTAGTCCTTACAATTTATGAGTGAAAATAAAAAGAAAAAAAGTAAGATTTTATGTTAATTGTATATATAATATATGTTCAATATAATTTAATAATATAAATTACTTTAATATCATGCAATGACTAATAATTTATATGTATATTTAATATTTTTATATATCTATATATGTATAATTCGGGTTTTGGATTGCTCGGGTTATTTGACATCTTTGCCCAAGCTTGCCCAAATTTAATTCGGACTTCTAAATTTTTGCCCAAACCCATACCGAATTTGAAAATATTTTGTCCAAGCCCTGAAAAAATTCAGACTGGGCTCGGATTTCTCGAGTTGAGCCCACTCAAATTGCACCCCTAAACACAGCCAAACTTTTTCTAACAGTTTTACTAAACAAAAACAAACGGATAGTTTAGATTGAAAATAAATCAATAAATTAGGGTTTATATTGACAAAATTGAAAACTCAGAGTTTATTTTGTTACAAAACTCAAATCTTAGGGTTTTTTTTTTTTTTTTGTGGTAATTTCCCTTATATTTTTTTATTTGAATAACATATTGCTAGTCAAATTCACAAGTTCAAAGTAAAATCATCAACAATTTCCAATAATTAAGCGTAAGCCACTTCAGATTCCATTTTCTTTTCTTTCTATTTTTAGTTAATATTACCCTAAACAGAGTACAACATAATTCCCAAAGATGTGGAGCTCACTTCTTTAAAGAAGAAACGTCATCCTCTGACGTCTTGTTGTCACCTTTGCCATCTTCTAACTGCTGAATCTGCAAAATTGATCAATCAAAACTTAGATCCACAGCTTCCATGACATGTAATAATGCATCTATATAAGTGAAATTAATGTTATTATGCTCTAGACACACACGCCGCATATATATCTATACTATTATTAAAAACCAACAATCACTTTGGCGTCTTGAAGCCATACTCTCACAAATTTTTTCTAATTTTCCTAAAATAGCCTTAAACTTTTTCAATAATTATACTATTTTAAAACTAATATCAATTTATAATTAAGGATAAAATCATAAATTACTAAACTCACAAAATATAACTACCCACATTAAATAACTTCCCACGTTGAAAACTCCCACCTTTCACAAGCATTTCACCATCATGAATTTCTTTTTATAAGGTAACTTCTATCTTCTTTGTTTTCATAGGCATGCACATATGTATCTATCAATCATATATATTATTATATATTCCAAATATTCCAAATTGCTGATTTGTGGTGGGAGTTTGTGCCCACCCAAGGGAATGAGATTATGCAAGGTTTAGGCTGATTGCGGATAAATGTGGGGCGGTTTTGACGTACGGTATGGCTCACATCATTTGTGTTTTGATGCGTGTTTTGATGCGATTGTTTGCGAGGTGCATGCTTTTAATCTCTTTGTATCATTTATGTATAAATTATATATATACATCACATTGTAGATTAAAAATTTACAGTTTTGTTTATTTTGAATTAAAAATTTACAGTTTTGTTTATTTTGAATTTAAGTTGATGTATACAGCAATTTTATATGCTATGTTATGTACATCATTTGTGTTTTGATGCGATTGTTTGGATTTGATTTATTTATTTGTTGTCTTAATAGTGTTAAGTGTGTTTAAAAAATTTAATAATCTTCAATATTCTTAAATTTTACATACTGTAAGTGTTTTGAGAGTCTTGAATTTGTATTTTTTCTGTATTACTATTAATTATACTTTCATAGAAAATAAAAAAATCCATTATGTTATTAGGTTCCATTACTGTAAGTGTTTCAAGCTTTTGTTAAGTTTGGGGTTTTTTTTCCCATTTGACTTTTTTAAGCTTTTGTTGGTTTTTTGTGTATAAATTCAGTTTTTAAAATTTTGATTTGTTTGTTCATATAAAATGAGTGTCTTGGGTTTTTTTTTTTTTTTTGAGTGATACTGTTAGTTATACTTTCTATATATATAAAAAAAAAAAAAATTAGCAAAATGAAATGTTTCATTGTGTTATTAGAAAAATTAGCAAAGTGAAATGTTTCATTGTGTTATTAGGTTAAAAAAAAAATTGATTATTATTTTTCTTCCTTTATATCAACCTTTGTCTTTGTATGTTTATAATTTATGTTTTCAGAAAAAATTGGTTTGTTTGTTTGCGCAATTTTGTGTGCGTTTTTGAAAAAACAATTCAATATTCATAAAATTTCTTTTATTTAAAAAAAATAATATTCTTAATTTTTTAAATAAAGTTTTTAGATTTTTATTATTTTTATTAATAGTTAATTATTTTTTGTGTATATCAAATTTTTTTTACTGTAAGTGTTCCAAGAGTATAGATTTGTTTTTTGGTATTTTATGTGTACCATTATTAATTACAATTTATTTATTTTCTTCATTAAAAAGCATACGATAAAAAAACTATTTTATTAGATTTCTTTGAGAAAAACTGACTATTATTGTCCTTCACTTATATTTTTTTCCGATTGCTTTATGACATTGTGTTGTTAAGAATAAACAACTTTCGGTTTATTCTCTATCGACACCTATTTGTTTTGACTGTAAGTATTCTATATGAGTTTTGGGTTTATAATTCTTGAAACTTGAATAATTGTAAAATAATTCTATTTGGGCTTAAACAAATATGTAATTTCTTTTTCTAGGCTTAAAAAAATCAAATTTGTAATTTCTTCTTTTTTTTTTTATTTATGTTTACTTAATAAGTTTGTGATGGTCAGAACAAATAACTTCTACAACTGTGTTTTAAATTTTTTGGGTGTATTTAAAAAATTTAGTGTGCTTCAGTGTTCTTAAATTTTACATAATTGTAAGTGTACTTTTTGTATTTTTTTGTGTATTGCTGTTAATTATACTTTTCATAGAAAATAAAAAGATCCATTATGTCATATCAGGTTCGTTCGAAAAATAAAAAAATAAAAAAATTATGAAGCATAAAATATGTGCAATTATTTAGACTTACACTTAAAAAGTTTGGGATTTTTTTCCCATTTGATTTGGACTGTACCAATCTATGTCAAAATGTAAGTTTTTAATTTGTTAGTTTCATTTATAAAAAACTTCAATAATATTTACATTTTGTTTCTTTATATATAATAAGTCAATTACAAAGCCAAAGTTATTATTATACTTTATTAGTCAAAGTAATTTACTTATAGATTTGTATATATAACAAAAGTTACATACTTCATTTTTTGTCAATTCCATCTTATTTTTTGTAGTTTAATGTTGTCATATATGTATATTCAAAATTGCATCAAAACAATTTGAAGAGATTGTTGAACGTGACGTTTGATTTGGACTATGTGATGATCTACGTCAAAATATAAGTTTTGAATTTTGAATTTCGTTTATAAAAATTTTTCACAATATTTACATTTTGTATCTTTATACATAATAAGCCAATTAGAAAACCAAAGTTATTATTGTACACTATTAGTTAAAGTACGCATGTGAACAATTTTGGCTCACTTTAAGGACGTAAAATTGTAATTTAATCAATGTACATTATTAGCAAACTAATTTTTACATATATCTTATATTTTTTTTTGGCAGCAATTGCAGGATCTTCAGCCTCATGTTACCAAATTAAGATTTTATATGAATTTTTGTTGTAAATTTTTTTTAGTTACGATGAGTAAATATTGTATTTTTTAAAAGATTTGTACATCTTTTAATGTACATGTATTTTATTTGTCAAATACGTTAATATCAAATGTTATATTGTACATAATTATTCATATGATTTATATATATATTATTAGATAAAATAATATCAAAATCATATTATAATTTTAAATAAATTTGCACACGCATCGCGTGTGTCCAGCCGCTAGTATATATAAAATTGAACATGACATCCCAAGGATTGGACAACTTGAAACCATTTAAGAATGATGGATGGAGACCCAGTCTGCTTTCATATGTCTTTAGCTAACTGCTCCAATAACCAACTTTAAAAAAATTAGGTAATGTTACGTAAAGTTGAAAGTTGAAAGTTGAAAGTTGAAAATTGAAAATTAAAGATTAAATATTAAGTATTGAAAATTGAATAGTTAATTTTTTAAATTAAAAAGATATTTGATAAAAATTTAAGTGTTAAGTTAAAAATAAATTATTTGATATGTATAAAATTAAATTTGAAATTTATTATTTTTAAATTATATATTTTAATTTTTATATTATGATAGTGGTAATGGTATGGTGGTTGTGATGGTGGTACTGATAGTAGTGGCAGTGGCATGGTAGTGGTGGTGGAAGTGATAGCGTAATGGTGGTGGTAGCAGTAACAATGGTAGTGGTAGTAAAATGATAGTAGTGTTTATGACAACATTGACGATTGTGATGACATTAGTAGTGGCAATGGTATAGTGGTGGTGGTGGTAATGATAGCGATAGTAGAGGTAGGGGTAGTGATGGCAGTGGCATGATGGTGGTGATAGTGGTCACAATAGCAATGGTGGTGATAGTGGTCACAATAGCGATGGTGGTGGTGGTCGTGGTAGAGATGGTGGCACTACAAGAAAAATCACTTTTGGCAATTAAAAATTTTTAGTCGCTAAAAGTCTATTTTTAGTCGCCAAAAGTCGACTTTTTAGTTTCCCCGACTAAAATTTTTAGTCGCCGCTTTTGTCGTGAATACATGGTCGCCGGAGGTATTGGCGACTAAAACTTTTTTAGTCGGCAAAAAATAGGTCTTTAGCGACCAAAGTTTTAGTCGCCAATAGTGATTTACACTTTTGAAAATCATACATTTAGCGACTAATCCTTTAGTCGCCAATACTCGCTGAATCGCCGACTAAACCGTTTAGTCGCCAAAATAAAGACTTTTGGCGACTAATAATTTTAGTCGCCAAAGGTGCTTCCGTGAAAAAAAAAAAATCAACTTTTTTCTTTTTCTGAGATTCAAACCACCAACCTGTCCCACATTCTAAACCTTTAGCAACACACTCCCTCCACTATGCCACTACAGCACCACATGAATATATATGCAATATATATTATTTATATAGTATATTGACCCGTATTAATATAAAACTATATATATAAATATAATTATTTTTATTCAATATAATTTATTTTTTAAATAAATTATTTACTAAAAAAAAATTGAAGCCACTTTTGGCGACTAAATCCATTATTTAGTCGCCAATTCTGTAATTTTGGGCTGCTAATTATTTTTTAGTCGCTAAAAAAATAAGTTCCGCCTAAAAATAAACAGTTTTGGCGACGGCGGTAGTAGTAGTAGTGTCGGTGGCATGATGGTGATGGTGGTGGTGGTGAGTTTATTATAGTATATATCGATACTTATGTTTAGTATTTATAAATTTAGTCAGAATTAAGTAAGTTTCATGACTTAAATTTTTCTTAAGTTTAAACTTACATTTTAAGAGGTATTTAAAATTTTAAGTGATATTAATTGTGGTTATCAAATGGGGTTTAATTACTAATCAGTTAATATATTCAATTTTAAGTGCTAAATCAGGTTATTAAACACCCCATTAATCTAAAAATGAAGCTTTTAATGGTTTTTTTTATTTAATATTTTTTAAAATTTTGTTTATGTTTTTCATTTTTTAAAATTTTTTTATAAGGTCTAAGAAGATAAAAACTGCAACCACTTCAAAATTATCCAAACTATTGAATTTGGAAGGCTACATCCCACTAATTTTGGACCTTTAATATCTACCTCTAGTGACATAAGAAGCACTCAGTGGATAATTTTTATATTTTAGTGAAGTTTTCAAATCATGTGACTTATAATACATCACTA